AAAAAACATCCATATAGAGTAAATTATATTGTGATTGACGGAGTAGCAACTTGTGCAACTACTTGTCAAAAAATTTGGAGAATATAATATCTATACTTATATTAAAGGGGATACTATGTACCAAATTAAGTAGCCAGAAAAGTCAACAGCATTTATTGCATTACTATTTCCGTATTATACTATATAAAAGGATATTCTATTTACTACATTTACTATCCAGAAAATCAACTGCATTAAATGTCATTACTATTTTAGTATTATAATATTTTATTTATTTAATTAATTTATTTATTTGTTTTATTCTAAAAAGGTAAGTATAATAAAAAGATTTTAATAATAAAAAAATCAAATATCAAATAAAAATGTACACTTTGATTTATTTGATTATATTTGGTATTTGATTATACCAAATATATTCCTATTTAGTACATATATTAAATACTTACTAAAGTATTTATTTGTTTTATTTGTCAAAATTAAGTGTAGATTTTTTTATATTATCAAATCATAAAAAAATATTAAATCCATATTGTAAAAAAAAAATCATATAATTTTATAACAATTCTACTACACTATTTAACAATATTTCTTTTTTATTATATAATAAAATAATAATTAAATATTATATGGTGAACAACAATAAGTAAAATTGTTACTTTCTCTTATATTAAGGGATAAATTTATATGCTAAATTAAATTTTTATTAGTATAAATATTTTAGTGAGATAATATATTAATTATTTTACAAGCTAGCCCTAACATGCTCATATTTAATGTTTTAAAAGATGTAGAAAAAAAACTTATAATAACTCTATTGTTTTTTAGACTTAAACGTTGATTAAAAGAGGTAAAAATTCCTAATTTTTTAGACTTAAACGTTGATTAACACCATAGATTGAGAGTTTATATTTAGTAGAATTCCTAATTGTAATAAAAAAAAATTAATTTTTGCTATATTTTAGAATATCTTTAAATTCATTATAAAAAAAAAGAAAAACTTTTAAGACTCCACTTGAATATTATTTTGTCAGTAGTCTTAATGTACAAGAGAAAGTAGTCTTAATGTACAAGAGACTTTAAGACTCCACTTGAATATTATAAAACTTTTATTGAACATTGTATCATTTTTTGCGTATTATAAACTTTTATTGAATATTGCACCTTATAATATAATATTCTCCAAATAAATATATCTCGTGCTTCGCACGTACTATATATATCCCGTACATTTTTTTTTTATTCATGTATATTGCACCTTATAATATAATATTCTCCAAATAAATATATCTTGTGCACCCCGTGCATCGCACGGGCTCTGTACTAGTCTTTACAAAAAGGGCAAGAATAATTAGGCGATTTGAGTATGTAGTCCGTGTGCTGTTTTCCAAATGATGAAAACATCTTTAAGATCACACGTGAAAGATTTGTCCGTGGATAAATCAAGTTTCTACGTAAAAATAAGTAAAATAATCAATAAACAAAAAACCAAATCAAAATATAATACTAAATCAAACTAAATGCGATGTTATGGGCTGATATTTTTGTCGTCCTACATAAAAAGTGTTCCACAAAATGAATAATTAAGAATATTGTCGTAGTTAACTTGAGTTGATGTGTATCACGTGTTTTTTTTTTTTCTTCCCCAAACGAAAGATGTGATCATGTGTTAGAATGATAAAAATTTTCTTTTCATCACATATATATACATAATAAGCAAAATTCGTGACGCAAATAATGCCTCTAATTTTGCTTTACAAAAATTCCAACCCAATATTTAAAATATTGTACGCAATCATACCGAACAAGACACACATATGCGATTTTACTAGTCGTACAGTATTTCGTCAATGTTGTAAATATATTAACATTAAGGTTAGAATTTGAAATTTATATAAAGTTTTGATTAAAAAAATAACAATAAAAAGACTATATAAAATATCCGGTATATTGCAATATATTTCCGTTTAACCGATATTGTCAGGTATGGAAATGGTATATATAATATGATATTTTGGCATTAATCGGAAGGTTATCAGTAACGATCCGAACCTAAAAAATGGAATTATCGAACTCGCCTACATGTTTTGGAACATTACATAAAACCACATTTGGAAAATATCCAATTTATTTATGATGATTTTATATTTTATAATATAATTTTGGATTTTTGTTAATTAATTAGCATAAGACTATCCTTATTACATTCGTCACATATTCCTGAAACATTCCTGATTTTATTGATTTCCTTTGTCATCTTATACCTACTCCTACATTGAAGGAGAATTTGGATGAGTTGAACCTAGGCTGAAATTCATTATGATTTTGATTTGGATTTTGGACAACACAATAATTTCTTCCCCGAAGAAATTGAAATAAGGGCAAATATCACATATATCGTATTGGAGAAGTTCCAAAATATTTTAAATATGTAACTCTAAGGCCATCTCCAGCCCTTATCTCTACTCTAGCGCGGACTTTACTCTACTCTAGAGTAGAGTTAAACATTCAGACCATCTCCAACGCTGCAATATTCTAGCGCAAAACACTAGAGTTGTGTCAAATATCTGCTCCAACCCTGCGCTGGAATCTTGCGCTACATCAGATATGGGAACAGTGCTGCGCCAATTGTAGCGCAGCGCCAGATTTTTCCTTTTTTTTTTGTTTTTTTTATGCTCTAAACCATATATGGTCTAGTGTGTAAATTTGCACTAATTCATATATGGTCTAAACCATATATGGTCTAGTGTGTAAATTTGCACTAATTCATATATTTTCAAAAGTAACAGTTTTGAATCGGCACATAGATGTATATGTATCTTCTTTAAGAAATTCAATTTATTACAATCCATTTTTAAAATGAATAAAAAAATAATATATTTAATAGAGTAAAATGTAGAGATAAGGGCTGGAGATGAATGTTCAACTCTACTCTAGAGTAGAGTAAAGTCCGCGCTAGAGTAGAGATACGGACTGGAGATGGCCTCATCTCCAGCCCTTATCTCTACATTTTACTCTACATTAAATATATTATTTTTTTATTCATTTTTTATTTCAAATAAATTGGTATATATGTATATTTAATCTTATATAAAATGTTAATTACTCAAATAATAAAAATATATTTTATTTATTTTTATCTATATATATATAATTGCTAGCTAATCCCATTTAATAAAATATTTAATAAAAATATTTTCACTTTCCCTCCAAAAGGAGTTACATTTTCTTTAATTAATTACTCATTAATCTCACATTTAAGAAGGTTTTTTATAGTTAAATTTAATTAGTTAATGACTAAATTAAAAAGATTTATTTTAATTAATCCCACATTTATGTTAAGTACAGTATTATCTTAATATCTTATCAGTTTTTCAAAAAAATAGTAACTTATTTCAATAAATTTTATAAATATTAGTCAAATGTGCTTATATTCATATAAATCAGAAAAAAAAATTAAATCTTAGATATATAAAAAGAACATCGTTGAAATAACTTGAATCTGCAAGGGTAATTCTATACTCATTATCAATTACTTTAAATTTTTTGTTTATATTAAAAATTAATATTATATTTACTCATTTATATTTAGATGGTATTTTTTTTATTAAGAAGCAAGGACAATCTCTATCAATCAATAAGAGTGAAGGACAAACAATATAAAGAAGTGTTTCCTATGCTATGACATGATCAATAAGAGTCGAAGACAGTCTCTGTTGCACGTCGGCTTACTACTGAAGAGCTCTGCATTTAGTCATGAGCAATTATACATGGCGCTTTTTAGAGTTACGAGTCAGTGGGGTTTGAAGATTTTGATTTGAGCTGAGGGAGATTTTGACGATAGAAAAACCACGACGTTGTTTTATAAAGAAGTGTTTAAGAATATTTATATTTTTTTTCTTAATTTTTTTCAATGAATTTGTTATGATTTTTACTATTGTTTATAATTTTTATTATTTATTCATGTATCATATAGTTTTCCGTGCAAATGCACGGGACAAAAACTAGTTTCGAATAATTTGCTAAATATATGAATATGTAATATTATATAAATGTTTATTACCCAAATAGTAATAAAAAACACGAAATTATTTAGCATAAAAAATACATTTACTAATACACATTATACAAATTTACACACTAGACCATATATGGTTTAGACCATATATGAATTAGTGCAAATTTACACACTAGACCATATATGGTTTAGACCATAAAAAAACAAAAAATTATTTATAGTCATATTATTTGTCAAACTATTTATCACATATTAATATATTACAATAGTATACAACTATACAACAATATATATATCATGATTATTTTATTTACAAAATTATATTCCACAAATATTTTTATAATGTTTGCAAAGAACATACAAACAATATATATAGATATCAATATTAGTTTGTTTAATATAATATATTTAATAGTATTTTATAATGTTGGAAATTAGGACAATGTTATTATATATATGTTTTTATATGATTTCAATACATTTCATACGTAAAAAAAAAAAAAAAAAAAAAAAAAAAAAAAAAAAAAAAAAAAAAAAAAAAAAAAAAAGAGAACAAAAATGTAGCGTTAGGTGAATAGTGTAGCGCCACATCTGGCGCTGCACTGTAGATTTATCTGAAATAGCGTCAAGATGTGGCGCTGCGTTGGAGCCCAATATTACCACAACTCTAGCGTAATACTCTACTCCAACGCAGCATTGGAGTTGGTCTAATGTGTAGCAATTAGCAAATTGCAATAAATGAGGCCAAAATGTATTTTGTTGTCGATTGGGACCACAAACAATAATTTCTAACTCTTTTCTTCTTTTATATATAATTCTGGAAGCATATATGTACTCTTCCTTACATCACACTCATAAAAAACTTTTGCGTCCGTGTCCATGGTTGCTTGAGAACTTGATTTCTTTTAGGTTTTGTACTTTTGATTTTGCAGAGATTGTGAAAGGGAAACAAGGTGATACCTATTTTGGAAGTGCAAGTGCGCATAATATTTGTTATTACTAAAACACGACACAATTATGGTATTATGCTTTTTCTTTAATAATAAATTAACTAGTTCCAAAAGGCAAATTCAAGTTAAAATTTATAAAAGAAAAAATAAATGAAGACTATTTTTTTTAAAGAGATAATTATTAATATTACAAAAATGAGAGGGAATGAGGAAGATTCTTTGATCAAATAAAGTTGGATTAAAACGATACAAATATATACATTAGAACATATTTTGACATAATGCATTTATAAAATTGGCAATTATTATATATCCAAAAGTATTTCTATAAAATATTATATGGAATGTTTATATTCATAGAGGACTTACTAACGGTAAGTCAAAATAATTGGCTTAAAGAAATCCAGAATTTAGCTTTTGGCATTGTATGAAGCAGGTAAAGCCTTAATTCCTGCCATGCGCAATGTATGATTAAATTAAACTTGATTCAAATGACCTGTGTGATAATTACAAATAGGACAAGATAAATATTCGGGATATTTAAAGGAATTCAGAGTTTATAGTTATTGTTATATTCTTTTATGGAATAAATAAATGGGGAGACACATTAATAAATAGACAGATGATAATGTACTACGGATCACATAAGCAAATAATGATAATCTTCCATTAAAGTTAACCAGCTCATTGTTAATTAAATTGTATGAATAGATCAAAATTACATATTTTAAGTGTTGCTTTGTAACTTTTATTTATAAGAAACCTTCATCTATAGTCTAACTATTCAACAATCACACGCGATATTTCACATTTGGAGATGGAGACAATGAGTGATGTATTTACTCTATTGTTTGATTTTTAATACTTGTACGAATACAATGGGTCATGTATATATTACATTAATCATATTTTCATACTATAGTGACATAAAGGATGACATAAACTTTAGGAAAATGCTACAATCTCGTGACAACCATTCCGTTGGGATTTGTAACCGTTAGATCAACTATCATTGACGGTTACTTGATGATCTAACGGTTACAAATTCCAACGGAATAGTTCCGTAACGGGATTGTAGTCTTACCCTAAACTTTAACATAATAACACATCTCATGAGGTCCCTCAGTCCTTTGAGGTAGCAATGCTTCCATACTCCCTCAGTCTCTTGAGGTCCTAGGTCCAAACCTCACGGGTAGCAAGAAAACATATCTCGAAATTTTATTACTTTATATATCAAATCACCTTTAAAATTAACAACCATCACGTATCTACCACATTTATTGTCATTCATTATATCTCTTTCCATTGATATGTGTCTGTTTGCATGCATTTTAAAGTGATTTATGCAACCCTTTATTTGTGAAGATCCCACATCTGAAACACAATTAAAACAATTCAGCTATGTAAGTGATTCCACAACTACCTCGATTCAAAGTCCAGTCCAACAGTGGACCGCTCAGTCGGACTAACCTCTACCAATTTTAGCTGGTTGAAACGGATTTTAGTTGATTTCAAGCCCCAACGGTTTCATACCTCAAATCGAACCGGTGTATTTGCCGGTTCTTGTTTTACCGGTCAAATCGTCCAGTCCGATTCGATTTTCAGAACCTTGCTTATAACATGAGCCGGTTCAATAGTTGGACAAGTCGACGTACTTTTTTATAAATAAAATTATACATTTTTATTTAATTCGTTTTTTAAGGTTGACATTATAGTTTAAAAGTATACATATTTCAGTTGGTTCAATCGATGGAGAGTTAGTGCGCTTTTTTTTTATATATAAATAAAATTATATATTTTTATTTAAATATTTTTTAAACATGATATTATAATTTAAAAGTATATATATTTATTGAAACAATATAGGTGCCTAACTCTTCATTTTAGATTTGCCTAACACAATCGTAGTACCGTACTATGTTATACAAATGCATTATTGTCACCCTTTTAATTAGCAATTGTGGAATACGGAGTGTTAAGAGTCCTATAGACATCGAGAACCCTGGTGAAGAACTAACTAAATGGTTGATCCGTACTGTTTTAAATAGCTCGCTATATTATTTTTTATCCAAAAAACGCGACACAATTTTATATATTTAGCATTTTTCTCGAAAAACTTACGCGAAATGCTGAAATAGCATGTTTTTTTTACGCTATTTCACGCTATATTTCTGCAACGACATTTAAATAATAAAATATTAAAAAAACTTGTATTTCTAAGGGATTAGAGTATATTTTTAAATGACAATTAAAAACTTTTTTTTATAGTGATTTCAAATTAAAAGTTTGAAAATACAAAGTTCTAAGTTGAATAGTGTAATATATATCTGTCCAGTTCAATTATATCATTATATTTTGGGGTATTTGACATTTAAATTTAGGAATAAAAAATTGAGATCTAGTGGTTAAAATTAAAATATAATTAAATTAAACAAATCAATTGCAATGTATATATTTAAAATTAAATTATGGCTTATCTTATTATATTTTCATTGTTTGTTTTAATTTTTAGTATATTCACTTTATTATATAAATATTCATATTACGTTATTTTCATTAAACATTGTAAGAAATAATTCTTAGATGTTATTTTGAGTTCATTCAAATATTATGATAATTTTTAGACTCAACTATCCAGTTTTATATGCAAGTATATACATAATCTTTCTACAAAAATATCTTTTTTATACACAAAAAGCTTACGCAACGCGCAACGCTATTTATGTTACGCAGTATAAAGACCAAAACACGACGCATTACGCTATACGCGTTTTAAAACACTACTCATCTGAATAGTTTAAAAATTTGTTTTTAAATTTATGTTCACACTTAATTCACTTTTGAAATTTTTCTTCCGTTATAATCACATTAATTTTTATAAATAATATTATTTATTAATATTATAATATGATGGTAGCTAAAATAATTAGACTATGCACGATTCTTTATTTATTTTTTCTTTATTTATTTAAAAAAATGTCATTATACATGAAAATATATACAATTATATATTATATAAATAAAATAAATATAATTATATGTTAATTTAACCGATTTTATTGATTCGATCACTAATCTGATCAGTGTTAATTGAATCAGTAACTTTACTTGTTCGATAACCGGTTCGGTTTTAAGAAATTTTTGTTAGAAGAGGCTTTCCTTTCAACACACGACTCACATTTTTTTTTGTTCCAAATTTCCTTCCTCCCTTTCTTCCCAAATCCCAAATCCCAAGGCTTCTCCCATTTTTCAATAGCTGGTCACTCTTTTTCCTCTCTCTTAGAAAGAAAAGAGAATCTTATGCTACGCCTAGCTTTCTCTAGTACGCTCCACCTTTCAGGAGAGATGACAATGGGCTGAGAAAAATTAAGCTTCGCAAACTGCCATAACCGCATTGACCGCCATTTTCGTTTTCCTGTGAAATTTCTGCTCCAGCTGGTCCAAATCGGCGCTAATCGTGCTGAACAGCCAACAATGAGCGGAGGGGAAGCAAACGGGTGGAGGAGTTGGCCACCGGCGCCAGGCGGCGCTCCGCCGTACATCCCGAGGGACAACCACTGGACCCACTTCGACAATTCCGTCAACGCCGTCTCCTTCGGGTTCGTGGCCACCGCCATTCTCATCTCTATGTTCCTCGTCATGGCCATTTTCGAGAAATTGCTGCGGCCGACCTCGCCGGCGGTGCCGCCAGCCGGAGGACGGCGGAGGCACGGCGACATTGAGGCTCAGGACCATGGTGGTCGATTCAATTCCAAGCTTGGGTATCCGTCTCCTAAGGTGAGTGTTGCTCAAGGTTTATTTATTTATTTTTACCCTTTAATTTTTTTACTCGACTGCGTGATTTTCGCCCCTTTGGTTGGTTTGGCTGTGAGTGATATGATGAATCTGGATAATGATTTTGCTTTTGAAGGTTGTGAATTGTGATGATTGCTCTTTTTGACAAAAAGCCCTCTTCTTCTTTTTTGCTTTAACCTTTTTTCTTTATACATCATCCTATTGAGCTTTTGATTTTTTATTTTTTTTTAATCAGGGTTCTCTTCAAATGCACTCCCTCTGTTTTGTTCTTATTCAGATAATATATTTTAGGAAACTAGGTTGGAAACTTTATTTTTAACAAATGGTAGTATCATTATTAATTAACTGATGCAAAATCTGTCTGAATCCGCAGAGAATATTGACTTATTCTATGATGTTCCTTTAATGCTGCAAAAAAGAAGGGATGGCATATCTTCATCAACACACTCCTACTAGTTAAAATATTCAATAATTCACTTGCCAAAAAAATAATGTATTTACAAAAGCAACAATGAATTAGCCAGTCCCATTGTTCTTCTATTTCTTTTTATTTTTGTTCCACAATTCTTTGCATTGTTTATTATAGAGAATTCCATGTGAATGTTCCTAGGACTTGTTGCACCAAGCATCATCCTTGTGTAGGATATTTGGAATGGTGACCCATTACATGAAGCATTTTGAGTTGTTTTATTGGTCCCTACACTTCCATTAATGAGAATTGAACCTTCTGCCCAGATAAATATAGTTTCTTCATTCTTGGGCTCAGCCCCACTGTTCTTTTGTAATCTCCTTTTGGCCCTTTTAGTTTATTGTCTTTGTTACATCATTAATGATTCATACAGCTATATTACTTGCAAGCGGATCATAGCTTTCCAAACTTACTTAAAATATTCTTCTTTGTTTAGATTACACGCTTCAGTAACATTTAGGATGGTCTAGGCTGAGCAGGGTTTAAAGTGAATTTTGGTTTTGATTGGCCTTTGATTATCATAGGCTGTTACTGTGTTATCTTGGGAAAAAGTAATCTCAGAATACTTTATTATTTGAATTGCATTTCACCAGTTAATTCATTTGTTCTGTACTCTGTTATTTGTGGATTTTCCCAGTTCAAGTGGTTGAGAACAAAGATAGAGCTCATTTTTCATCAGTTTTGCTATGGAGCCTGATGATGGCTCAGCTTATGCAGCTATCCACACTTATTCACCAATAGTGTATTGACACGTGTCTTGCAATAAATACACTTTGGACATGTGTCAATACATTAAGTGGTGGATGGCTCCATAAGAAAACCATCCGATGGCTCCATAAAATTTTTGCATTTTTCATATGGTGACATAATCCATGGAATCAATGAAAACATTTAACCTGCATTTTGATGTGGAATAAACTAAAGCTATTTTAAAAGAAATAAATTACGTTCTCCTCGCTGAAGTTGAACTTGGGACAATAAAAAAAATCAGTAACTCACCTTTTATGTTTTGCTTGGTTTTGTTACATTATGTCACAACTTTCTTTGTGGACTAGTGTCCTATTTTTAGACTAACTATTCCCTTACTAGTTTGATTATATTTCTTTTTTTTTCATGTTGTTTTAGTTCTCTGCCAATGCAAGAGAAGTTTCAGTTGTGATGCCTGGCCATAAAATCCCGACGTTTATAGCAAAACAAGCTCCTGTGCCTTGCCCTCCCGAGCGCATGCCTTGGCCCTCTCATCAGCAAGGAGAACAAAACCGGACTCATTTACACGATTTACGTGCTTCCACCTGAAATCACCTCCAATTGACTTTGTTCCATGTGTTGGTAAATTAAAATTGGAATTTAGATCAAAGATGGTTTAGGAGAGTACTGAGAATCTGAAGCCGAGGTCTTCATATTTTGTACATAAGGCTCAGGGTTTTGTGTGTGTATATGTAATGTACTCTGAGCTTTTGCAGGCTTCAGTAAATCTCTCTAGCTGCATTTGGGAAAGCCGTAGTTTCATTACACGCCACTTCTTATTCTGTGCTTTAAAACAAACGTGCATGTTATAATTAAATTATATGGTTTTCTCCGGGAAAAGCATAACTAATTGGATTCGACATTGAGTATTGTCAGTATTTGAGAACAAAAGCTATAATTTAACATGATGGAGTATTTACTTCTAATTTGTGTTTAAGAGCCCACATAATTCATTGTTTTTTCGTTTATATTCCTATCCGGTTTCTTATTCATCCATTTTGCTACCTTATTTGCATGAATTTCTTACTTCAACACACAGAAATCCAAATCCCATAAACCGAAGTATGCAAAAAATCTATCCCAACAAAACTCAAGAACAATCTGAATTCCAATTTAGAGGTCAAATGCTAACAAAAAGACCCACCCCACAATGGCCAGGTCATGGGTCAGCTTTGGTTGATCCATAACAGGTAACTAGGGAAGATAGGGCCAGAGCGAGCCTAGGAGCATAGCCCATTTGTAAAATATATATTTGTATTAAATATTAGCTTAAATCATTACTTAACTTCTTTTTCATGATGAGATTTTTCGTTCATTTCTACATTCGACAAATCTCCATCATGAAATTAATTAATAATTATTGATAGCAAAATCAATAGATTTTACATTTTTTTTCTTTTGTTCATTTGTTTCGATTCTCCATTTTTCTCTCATTTTCTTCCTTAGACACACAAAATTGTTGCTTTGGGTGCATATAATTTGATTATGTTGATAATAGACATTAAAGGTGTCAAATAGTATGAGTTTTAAATTATACGTTTCTATTTGTATCAATGAATTATTTAAATTGGTCTACCTATGCAAATAACTTCTTATCAAATTGATGCATTGGAGATACTTGTGAGATGATCTCCTCCCCTGAGTGGGTCTCGCCTTTTATCAGGTCGCATTGCGGGGTGGTCCAACGTTTAGCCACCGACGTCTTTGCGTTGGTAGTCTTCCAGCGACTCTGCGGTTGTGGGTTGCGGCTTCCATTACCCCTTTGTATTGGTTGGGTCTGTTTGTAGTATTTTGAGGGTAGTTGGTAACCGAGCTACCCGACCTCGAGTCGTTCTCAAAGGAAGATGGTTCGGGGCTTTGTTCACCAATCAATTGTCCAAATCACACAAAATTAGAAAATAAAAGCTAAACATGCTAATCAATGGGTTGGAGAGTGAATTAATGTTAATCGATGCTCGAAATTGAAAAAAGCAATAAACGAGAGAATAAAGCAATTAACACTACCGGAGTCTCTATGCCATCGACACCAAACGGACTCAATGACGAACAATTTGCAAGTTCTAAGCACTGGGTCACTAATCCTAACCTTCTAACCTAAGTGATTAAGCTCTAAATAGAGTCCTAACTCTTAATCTAGATAGACAAGTAATTAATCTCTACTAAAACAAGCAAGAGCAATGATCAAGTCCAAACATTTCCTCCATCATCAAGCAAACACCCAAAATTACCTTGATAAACATCATAAGTAAAAATGGGGCAAAAAATCGAAGTAATGAGCTTTAAAAATAAATACCCAATCTTCTATTGTGTGCTAGCCGAGAATCGGAGTCAAAGGCTCGGAACTTGAACAAAATAAGAGTCGTCGGAAAACTTGCCGGAAAATGATGTCATAGAGCTCCCAAGAGAGAGAAGAGAAAAAACTAAAAAGAAAAAAAAAATTCCTAAAGAGGAAAAGTGAGAAATGAAATCTAGATAGCCAAAACACAAAAGGCCAAAATATATTTATAGTGGAATCTAAGGACACAAACTAGGTGCACACACATTTACTAATCTGTAGCTCGCAGGTCTCGAAAATAACTTCGCAGCGAATTTTGGGTGAAAATAACACTGAAAATGCACGTTGGCAGGTCTCGAAACAATGTTCGTTGCGAGTTCTAGGGTCATGGGCGCATGGGCTTCCGCTTCGCGGGGCGCGAGTGTCACTTCGCAGCGAGTTCCAGCCCTGGGCGCTTGCGCTTCGCGGCTCGCGAGTAGACTTCCGCAGCGAGTTCTGCCTTGCTGGTGTGATTGGCGCGACGCGAGTGATGATTGGTTGCGAGTTCGGGCAGTGGTTGGGTTGACTTTAGTGTTAGATTCGCGGCTCGAATAAGTGACTCGGTTGACTCGGTGCCAGTTCGGGTGGCCCGTAAATGGCTAGAAAAATTACCCGTCTACCCAATCGTGCCGATTGGACCTAAACAACACACCAAAATACGCAAGAAAAACGGCCAAAATACAAAAACTCATAATAAAAGCGAAAATACATAAAACACGACAAAAGGACCGGTTGACACAAAAACGAGCCTAAAAACACTAAACTAAAACACATAAATCACACGAAAATAAGCACAAAAACACAATAAACAGGGTCGAGGTCAGAGTCTTCTTCCCTGGTGTCCCTTTCTTCCCTGGTATTGGGCTGAGGGGATGAGCCAACTGGTTCATGTTCAGGCCTGGGTCATTGACGGGTCATCGGTGGTGTTGGGGGTGGAGTGTGATGAAGGCTTCCCATTGCTGCTGGCCGAAGGTTGTCCACCTGAGTGAGGGGTAGGGTACGTGGTTTCAGATATAGTTAGGCGATGGTGTTCTACAGTTTTTAGATCTGTGAATCGAGTTGTGTCTCTGTCTAGGGGGTGGTCGCCCTCAGGTGTCGGTATCGTGTTATTGGTTGGAATGGATTGCCGACTGCTTTAGACTAGTATCTAGTGGGTTTAATCGGTGTGATTAGTTTTGTTTGTTTGTGTTTATGTTTGTGTTGGTGTTTTATTCTCCCTTTTGGAAATTAGTATTCTATGGCTTGAGAATTAGTATTCTCCACTACTGAGAGTTTTATAGTCTAGTTTTCTAGTTTTTTAGTCTTATCGATGTGTTTAGTTTAGTGTTTTTAGGCTAAAGTCGCAGCGTATTCCCCACTAGTGAAAGTTTTATATTCAAGTTTTTTAATTTTGTGAGTGTGTTTAGTTTAGTAGTTTTTAGGCTACACTCATTCCAGCTTGTACGCCTCCCTTTGAATTCAGCTTTTGGCTGTTTCAGTTGGCTAGTTAACCATTTGTAATTATGTTTTTTTATCAATGAATTATGTTGTTCTAAAAAACAAAAAAGTACACTCATGTGAACCCTAATATGACGCTTCAGTTTTACATTTTTTCTTCGATAAAAATGTATAAGGACAACTTCTTTCTTTCCCTTTCTTATTTTTTGGTTGTTAAGTTATTCTTCAAATATAATTTAGTTTATATTTTATTTTAAATTTTAGTGTTATTTTTATTTTGCTTAGTAACATAATGATATTTTTAAATTATTAATTTTATATTTTTAGAAAGTTAAAACGATAAGAACAATATTTATCAATTTGAATTTTCAAGACTTATTTGGGTGTTGAAAAACCGGAGTCCACAAGTAAAAACAGTTATTTCGTAATTTAGGGTCCATATCCTACATTCAGGGCAAATTCGATCTACTCATGGGATGTGCCCACGGGAGTTTCAATAGTCGGATTGCATACATTTACACACATCCGGACTGATGTATATGGATCAATGGCTAATTGTTTGTTAGAAGCCTTTTTCAGAAAAATCCATTTAAAAATGGACTTATCTAAAATGAACTTCAAAAGTTCACTTCTAAAGAATGGACTTATTGGAGAAAAATTCCTAATTCCATTCTTAATTTAACATAAATATCCAACTACATAAAAAATCTATTTGAAAAATGTTTCTATACAAGCTCCAAATCTCCTTGGTAGGGTAAAATCAATTGCTAGATTGATTATGAGCCCGCACATAATCCCACTCTTAATTAAGTGCATGATTTCCTCTGTGCAGCAGTTATAGAGAGTCACGCAAACTTTCAAATCATATCGAAATTAAGGCATACAAACAAAACAGCATGATGCTAGCAATTTACTCCACAGTCCACACTTTTTAATTTATCTATATATTATATAGCAACTGAAAATTCGGAAATACCAAAGTTAACCCTAAAAGTGCATCAAGGCCGACAATTAAAGGCGCTTGAGATTGGCAAAAAAAAAAAAAGGCGCTTGAGATGGCTAAAGTCAACGCTTAGAGCTCAAGTTTGACCAAGCTCAAGTTGAGCTTTAATCACTTTGAACTCGAACCAAGACTCGAGCTTGACTTTGTAATAAGCTCGAATATTTCACGAACCACTAACAAAATACATCTAGATTTTTTTTATTTATTTTATTTTTTTCTTCGAAGCAGAACTGAGCAAAATTTAAACCGATCGCTACCACTTGCGTTTTTTTGTGATGTCGATACGAGGTTAAAAGTACAGCTCGAACAACATTCGAAGAAAAAATCGTTCCTACCTCGATAAGGATAATGCTCGACCCCGATTTCACATTTCTTTTGCAGCCTATAGAAATATAAAGCATTCCAAGGACACAAGCGGGTTTTCAAGCGACTCATCACTTGTCGGTGGCCACTTCTCGTCTCCACCACCCGTCCTTTCCTCATCCAGTTTCCTGACCCGCTGACCCGACCCGGATCCAGTCCGACCCGGAGACTTACCAGTTTTCCTCGCAGACGGGCTCAGTCCGGAGCCCGTTTTCATCGGCCCAGAATCAATGCGCGTCACTGGAGACTTCGACCGCCGGCCGGAGCTCTCACCGGCGTCTCTTCTCCTTCCGTACCCGGATCCGGACCCGTTTCCGGGTCTAGCGCGTCCGGGGGAGGGGTCGGACCTCCGGACCGGAGATCTGCCGACGGGCCTCTCCCTTTTCACCTCGCTGCTAAATGGCGCGTCCCTCCGCCTCGCCGGAGACATCTGCCGGATCTGACCCCCGCCCTTTTCTTCTCCCTTCTCCGCCGGATTTGTGCCGACGCTCTCGCACTCGCCGAGGGTGCTGCAGATCTCGGAGCCGACATCCTCGGACAGGTCGTCGCCGCCGCCGACGAACGCCGGGTGCGGCTTCCTGACGCCGTTGTGGGGGTCCTTGCTGGCATTTACGGGCGGAAAAGGCCCGTTTCTAACAAATGGGCTCTCGAAGTGGCGATGAGCTCCGTGGGCCCGGCCCGGAGGGGTTTTGGGGACGGTGCGGATCTCCGATAGGACCTCCTTGACAGTTTCCTCTTCGAGGATTCGGGGTGGCGATTTGCTAATACTGCTGTTTATTGGGGCAGTTTTGGGAAATTTGGGAGTTTTGGGGGAGGTACTGGCCGTGCTAATGCAGCACCCCATTGCTTTTTTTTATTTTTTATGGTGATTGTGATGAATTAGAAGAGTAGTTGAAGAAGAGTGACTGTATTTATCGGGTTGGATGAGGGCTAATGGGCTTGTCTGGCTTCGATATTTTGATATAATTGATTTTCTTCCTAATGCATTAGCTGCACCATGTTCTATTCTTTTATTTTATTTTATTTTTTTTTAAGCTAAAATTTAGTGCATTTGTATAGACAGAGATAAATATTACAGGGTGAATTTCTTTAATACCTCAATATATATATGCATTTTTTTTGCACACTGGCCCATTAAAGTAAAAATTTTCACCTCAATACTCACAAAATTATATGGGATATAAGATCGCATATTCAAATGAATCGCATAATTAATTATGCGAGATGAGATTTTGTCGTGTATATACTAACACATATTCAAATCAGACACATAATTAACAATTATATGAAACACATTCGCATATTTTTCTATTTCATGTCTAAATCCACCGCATAACTTTTGTTATGCGAATTTATTTCGCCTATAAAATTATCACATATTTAAATTGATAGCCGCATATTTTACGATTATGCAACAAGTTTTCGCATATTTTATATCTCGCATATTCAAATCAAACGCATAGTTAACAAGTATGCGAAACACTGTACGTAAAAGACCTCCGACCGGCTGAGACTAGCCTGCTCTTGATCTCCTCCGCCGGCTGAACGCCTTTAGACCTGAAAATACTCTCACACCGGAGAAATTTTTCAGTGAAGAGCCTTCAATTCTTAAATGAGTATGTGTAGAAAATGAATTGTAAAAAGTATAGAGTATATGAATGTAGAAGATGTATAAAACCCCACGTCTCACCTCTATTTATAGGGGTGGGAAGGTTACTGGAATATAGTGAGCTGTCAGCCCAAGTTGCCCAGTAGTACAACCCGCATTACCCAGTGTGTCAGAGACGGTTATGAGGTATGGACCAATCAGGTGGTACCACGTGTCTTTGCCATGTGTTGCATTAATTGTCGTGAGATTCCTTCTTATCCATACGTCTTTCGTATTAGACCGTCTAATGGTGCGACCAACTCAAAGTCTACTGAGGTAGAGTACTAACTGTTCTTAGCCCCAGCGTCGTCCTTTCGGGTCGATTATACGACCAATCATACCTATAGATCGAATCTCCGTCAGGTCATCTAAAGACCCTAGTTCAACCTGTTGTCGTTGTCCTGTATCCCTTATGTTGTCTTCAAGATCGAAGGCTTTTAGTCCTGTACTGGTGACCGCGGGTCGCAACGCGGCAAATTTAAATTTATAATTTTTCCTATACTAACCTCTACTAACTAGTAGTAGCGGCAAGGAAGGGTCGATCCCACAAGGAGCAGGAATTAAACTGTGATCATTTCGTATTAATTGAACTAAAATTAAGAAAACAATAAAAATGGGGGGATTGATTTAATAAAATAAATAAATAAAAATAAAATAATAAAAATCAAATAAAATAAGATAAGTCCAGTTTTCGGTTCAGTTATCACCCAATCTAAATCTACCGTTAATTAATTTCGACGCTTTCTTTAAATTGCTAATGAATTACCAACCCTAGCTAACAACAAGCTCTGTTAACCGAATTTTCCCTTACTGAATATTTAATCGAAGTAAGTTGTTCGACTAAACCTAACTAGTGGACAACCTAGAATAATCTCTCTAGATTTAATATACCAGCAATATTAATTACTAGGAAAATAGATCAGTCTAAGCAATGGACACAAAAACTCAGACCATTTAACTTATGTTCACGCTACCCTAGAGATGCACGACCCCTAGTTTACTACTGACGAAACGAGACAATAACAATTACGGATTAAAGTCCCAAATCTAGCAATTAAACTATGAACATTCAACGTAGCTGGCCAAACTAAATCAAATACTCATAATTCATAAATGTTAAACACAGATAGCATGAATCAACTCATCAACAAAAAATAAATACGGTGTCTCGATTAATCAATGATAAGAAATAGATCATTCAATTCATAGACAAATCAAAATTAGGGTTCAAACATCCCCTAAAACTGGATAAAAAGTCTAACCTAACATACTAATAAAAATAAATATAAGATAAAAGAGAGGGTAAAGATCTCTCTCATGTGCGGGTGCGGCTTCCCCCCGCGTGTGTAGTATCCTTTCTCTCGATTCAGTCTCTCCCTTTTTCTCCCGTGTGTTCTTGCAGTCCGTGTGTTTATTTTCTTGTGCGGCTCCTCTCTGTTCTTTTCTTTTTTTCTCCCGCTTTCCTTTCTTTCTCGCAAATAAATTCCTCCAATATGTGTTATGTGCCGTGAGCTTTTCTACTTCTCCAAATAAATTGATTCCAACTGAAATTAATTGCAATGTTGCGGCCCCACTAATCAAACTCCTCAAGGAAATTAAATATTTTTCACAAAAACTCCATCCATGGCCTCACGTGAGAATTGGAATGTAAATCCAAGTTATCCTCCAATTAAATTCCTCCACTACTAAAATGTCCAGCCCAATTCTTTTTTTGTTTCTTCTGCTGCGTGCCACCTCATGTGTCCATGGTGAATTAATTAGAGGAAATTACACCCCCCACGACCCCACAGCATTTTTATTACATATAAACTACTCAACTATATTATTTAGCAAAAGTGCCTAACCTAACTATTTTATTTGTAATCCTACTAGCATCAGTTTCTTTGTTTTGAATTTTTAATTAAGGATGAGTTATGTTTTATTTGGATAGTGGCGGATTTAGTGGGATTTGGTTAGGAAGTTTAAAACAAATTTATTCCTTTCTCTCTCCTCCATTCATAGTTCTCATCCGAACTATTTTCTTCTTCACATCATCTCATTTCCATGGACGACTACAAATCGCCAACCGCCTTTTCTTCTCCTTCGGCGTCTTTTTATTTTCTTTTCCTTCTGCAAAAATAGACACTAAACAAGATTCTGATTTTTTTTCAAGGCGAATAAAATCGACATGGACGAGTTGAGTCTCGACGAGAACTTCGTTGAAAGTGAGAGATGGAGTTTCAAAATCCTGGTTGGCGGCCGCTGGTGAAGGAGCATTCAAGCCGGAGATGCGTTGGATCCCTACAGTTCTTTTTTGGGTGGACAGCAACGACTTCAAGCGGCGTGCACAGAAGATAGTACAGCCCTTTTTCGGTGACGGAGGGTGAGTTGAGGAGGGAGGAATAGGTGGCGGGGTCGGGGGGGCGTCCATGGCGGCGGAGGATAACGATTGAAGATAGATTTCCAATTCTCTTTCTCTGTCAGCCATTTTTTTATTTTTCCATTTTCCATTCACAGGGGTTGGAACTGCATATGAATGATCCAGTCCATCCCAAGCCCAAACCAGTATATGTTACACAAAATATACTTTAAATATACACTCGAGTTTCATTCGTTTCTCAAAATCGATTTCAGAACCCACATATACATAAAATATACCTAAGATATACACTCGAGATCACATACATGAGACGAGCAGACACAAAATATACACAAAATATACTTTAAATATACACTCGAGTTTCAATCGTTTCTCAAAATCGATTTCAGAACCCACATATACATAAAATATACCTAAGATATACACTCGAGATCACGTACATGAGACGAGCAGACAAGAAGGTCTCAGACGATGGTTGAGCAGGTTCAATTGGTTATCTTTTCTTAAATATGGAATATGAAATCAAGATCTGTAACTGATTTTTAGGCAACAATATAATTAATTACTAGCTATTAGGTACATACACAATTAATTGTGTATTAATGGTAATTTTGCAATATTCCTACAATCGTGTAGGATAAGTGAAAATGTCCCAACTAATTAATTGGACTCTAATTATTAAACTTCCTCTAATTATGGGCTCGGCCGTAAATGGCCCAATAATATTTCACGAGAATTCTCATCCAGCGTTTCGCCTCAACAAAATCCTCCAATCACCTGAAAATAAATAAAAAATAATCATAGAAAACGAATCCATCAAAATAATAAATAGGTCGAAAAATATAAACGTGCCAACAAATTTAGTGTATAAAAATACACTATTATATATATAAAACGCGCACATTTTCCGACCTATCAATTGGTGCCATTCGATCACCCGATCCTGCTGTAGTTCTGGTCAATCAGGCGGTTCACTCAGCCTGGTCGACCAGTTTATCTCCTTGGGTATGGTATCCCATATCATCTAGTCCCCGTCCCACCCTGGTCGAGTTGGGATAACTCGATCTAAGAGTAGGTGTTTTTTCTTTTCTTCGTCTGGCAGGTTCCAACTCTTGATTTTCGACGTGTCTGCCTACAGTTCATTTCCTAGTACTTTTCGACCAACTTGCTTCTTATTCCACGCTTTTGAATCTCTTCCCTCCAAGGTCTTCATTTTGAATTTCAAATTTCAAGTTTCTGGCAAATCTGTCTCCTTGTCAGGCCCGTCCAATCACACGCCTCGATGATGTCACTGCCCCGTGAATCATGCTGCCTCGTACAACATACCCATCAAATGCTTTTTTAAATAGTAATCTTCATATTGCCTTTAATCTGAAGGTTGGCCTTATTGACCCTTCACCTGGCCCCATATATCCAAGCCGTTAGTATCGCTTCAATCCAACGGCCGCGTCCCTTCCACTTCGCCTCCTCAGATCTCCACCCTTAATCGCCTTTGCCATGCGACGATCGACAATTAACCGACTCTTTAACGCACTGGTTCAATCCTGATCACTGGCCCTGATCGCAACCAATAGTCAGGGTTGACTTATCCTCGCGTTGATTCTCCTATAAATACCCCCATAACCTACTTCCATTGGATTTCCACCTTCATGATTCTCTCAACTATATTTGTGCTTTTACTTGTGTAATTTCTGCGACCAAGTTCTCTTCTTCTCCCACGACCAGCTCGAACATTTTTCGAGTTTTTCCAGCGGCCCACTCAACCATTAATGATGAGTAAGTCCTTTTATCTTCGATTTTGCATGTTTCAATTGCAATTTTGCTGTCTCGCTTTGATTTTCTCCTCGAACTCGCCAGGTGTGCTCCTTTCTCCTGACTCTTTTTCATCCCACCAAAACCCTATATTGTTCCTTTTCTATTTTTTCTTTTTTATTTTTTTTTATTTGTCCAGATTTTGGCACTTCAAGCTTAAACGATCATTACTCTAGCAAAGATATGACCTTTTCTTCTTCCTTCTCAATTTTGCAACCTCACCCTTACTCCCCGACCACCTCCGTCCAAGAGATTCTCCAGCCTACTCCTCTTTCTGTCCTTCGACCTATCGTTCCATTTCAAAACTTGCCCAATGAGGACATTGATGAGGTTTTTCAACCTGAACCTGGACACCGCCCCCGTCGTCCGTTCGGGCTATACGACGAACTCAAAGAAAAAGAGGACGAAGTGATGAGATTCTTTGACCTGACCTAGTGTCTTTGTCTCCAAGCCAACCCGACCCTTCTTCTGGCCACCAACAACCTTCTCCTCATGACCCTCCTATCCCCTTCGATATGTCGCGTATCTATGAGGGAAACACTAGTTGGGTTTTCTATGATATCGACATTATCGGTCAACCCTCAGATTGGGATTTTTATGCTCTCAGAGATTTGTACACTTATGATCATCCTCCTAAAGGTTGCTACACCTTTTTCCAAAGTCAATTTCGCTTTGGCCTCCGCTTCCCCTTTTGCCAAGCTCTTTTCGACCTATGCGCCATTTTTTGGCTTGTCGTTGAACCAACTTCCTCCTAACAGCATCCGCCACCTGACCTCATCAGTGGTCATTCGGTTTTCGATCTTCGACCTCATCGGCAACCACTCGATTTTCGGTATTTGACCTCATCAGTGGTCATTCGGTTTTCGGTCTTCGACCTCCTCGGCAGTCACTCGGTTTTCGATTTTCGACCTCATCAGTGGTCATTCGGTTTTCGGTCTTCGATCTCATCGACGATCACTCAGTTTTCGCCCTTATCAATATTCATTCGGTTTTCGGTCTTCGACCTCATCAGCAGTCACTCGTTTTTCGGTTTTCGATCTCATCGGTGGTCATTTGGTTTTCAGTTTTTTACCTCATCGGCGGTCACTCGATTTTCGATCTTCGACCTCATCGGCAGTCACTGGATTTTTTATTTTCGACCTCACAGACGGTCACTCGGTTTTTTACTTCATCAGTGGTCATAGCTCTTTGACCTCATCGGCGGTCAATCGGTTTTTGACCTCATCGGCGGTCATTCAGTGTTCAACCTCAGAGGCGGGTCTTTCGGTTTTTGACCTTAGTGGTCGTTCGGTGTTCATTTGGGTCCTGATGCTCATTTGAAGGTTTTGGTAATTATTTGATGGTCGAGGATTTATTCAAATTATAACCTCAGTGGCAGGTTTAAGGAAACAACCCGAAGAGGCATATTACTCTAGGATCTAGTTATAATTACTCGACCATAGTAAGGCGGACTAGATGGTATGAGATATTATACTAGACCAGTTTTAATGGATAAAAGGAATATATTGGAGAATAAGTCTACACATGGGCTAAGACACGTGGCATGATGGTATTGGTCAAGCCCAACTTGGGTCCTAAGGTACACTCCCCCTATAAAATTGGGCTAAGGTATCTCATTAATTCATTCTCTATTCATTCATTACTACACTCTCATTTTATAACGAGTGCTGATTTAGGCATCAGAGGCCCAACGTCAGGACCCCCTCCCGGCGTTGGGTTTTTGCAGGTATGGAGGCCGTTCGAGTTGAAGGAGTCGGGTGAAGTCTATTCACCAACTATGTATACATTAGAAAACACCATAAATAAAAGTATTACACAATATGATATTTGAATAGTAGTATAAGTATGAATTTTTGTTCGTAACTCTTCTAACGATTAGACTGCTTCAAACAAGAAGCTATATTCGAGTTTTGGGGCAAGAAGAAGAATTTGGCATTTGGCTCAGTGAAACAATTGGACGTTACCTATATTGTAAAAAGTTTAAGAAGGGCGAGTAGAACGTTAATCCAAAGATGACCTATTAAAATGTTGAAAGGAAGGGCCTTAAACATAAAAACATTAAGAGCATATGAAATGTTGTAGGTCTAATTTTGTTTACGTGGCATGTAAATAGACCTAAGTCTTGGATGTCATGGACAAAAATATATAAAAGTAACAAAATTAATTCCAATGCAATGAGACTGAGTCTCTACTTGGGTCTAAAATAGACTTAAAGGTAGACTGAGTCTATTTTTGTTGCAACATCAGCAGGACCCAGTCTATTTGCACTTGCATTGGAGTATATATTTTTCTAGACTGAGTCTTTTTTCTACGTGGCCTATATTATTTTTTGATTGAACCCAAAACATTGTGGATGCTCTAACCAAACAAGTTTGGCACTCATCGAGCCAACTCGAGCTCTTGATAGTCGAGCTCGGGAGTGGTTCTTATCGAACCGAGTTCTGTTCAAGTAAGTTAATGATCCGACCAAATGAGTTTGAGCTAGACTCATTAAGGCCATGCGGTATGTTCAAAAAATGATGCAAAAACCTTTATATTTTTAAGCTTTAAACAAATTCAAGCTTAGCATGTTTATCAAATGAGTCGAATCAAGCCTTAACAAGTTGAGAGGGCTCATCACCTTTAACAGCCTAGCCATACTCCCATATAGGGTTGTTATCGAAGCGAACTGTTCGCGAACAAAGCCTGTTAATGTTCGTTCGTGTTCGATAACAGCTCGTTCATTTAGTAATCGATCCGAACTCTAACATGAAATTATGCTTGTTTCGTCATTGAACGAACTTGAATAAGTTCGCGAACAAATCGAGCATTCGTAAACTAAAAGTATTTTATAATTTATATATATATATATATATATATAACAATTATGGATATATATTAAATATAATAACTTGTATATTATTAAAATAAAATAAAATTAGTTAAGTCAACAAACAAAAACACGAACACAAACTTTTCGAAACCAACAACTGGAACAGTTCACGAACAAGTTCAACTATATAAATGAACGAACACGAACGTGTCGAACAAATAAACGAACAAACACGAACGAAATTTTTTGTTCGGTTACTAAAGAACGAACATGAACATTTGCACAAATCAGTCAAACTCGAGCTCGAAAGCATTAAGCTCAATTTGGTTCGATAACAACCCTACTCCTACAGTCCTACTCCCATACATAGCTTGACCATGACATGCTTGAAAACGAGTTGGCATAAAACCTTGATTCTAAAGATTGTTAACTGATCTTGCATCGAAAAGGAAACTTAACATATATACCCTTGATGAGTAATTGATCAAATTTGAAAAAAGTATAGCATATGAATCAATTAGTTCTTGTATAAAATTCCGATTATTCTTTTCTACATTTTCCTGAGATATTGATTATGCGCATTTTATTTTTCATAATTGATTTCTTTGAAGAATATAGGACCATATATATTAACTACGTTCTTTTGTGAACCATATGACCATCTTTTTTCATAACTCAAGTGTTTTCTATGAACTACAGGACCATAACTAATTTATTTGGCAAACTGTAGGTACCTCTATCGAATGGTATCGTGGTGTGTATCATCTCCACCGAAATAGAATCAAACAATGAAATGTGAGTTTTCATACAATCTTATCGTTGCCTCATTATCAGAATTTGACAAGGGACCAACCTGACTAAATGATATATCACTTATTGATTCAATTCCAGCAAGACCACTTGGCCAACAAGTTCATATCGGCCAGGCCAAACAATGCATTACAAAGGCTTATTTAGCTTAAAATGGTATCCAAGCGCCAAGCCTTTACTAATTGAGATTGAGATGGAGGGTAGATATTGAAGTTAGAGTCCATTTTTGGGTTGAATTGTACTGCCAAATCACAGGCCTTGTTTAGAAACATAAAAAAAACCAGCCGATGTTTGGAGACTGCCATAAAATCAGTAAATGTTTTCAACGTGGGAAGCATATGATAACTACGACAATGCAATTGATAAAATGCCAAAGTCGATCAAATTAGATCAGAATGGGGCAGCAACTAACACAATAGACAGGGCGTTACGTCCGTTCATTAGCCACTATTCTCACCATCTTATTCCTGATTCAGGAAAATAGGACAGCTCCTACAGGGAAAACGTGCAAACTCCTACAAGTTTATATAAACCAACAGTACTAAGATGCATAGTTGAATGCATACTCCCCGCCACATGGGGAAAATATTGAGAAATTAAAACTGCATTACTGGAATGAAAGGAAGCATCAAACAATAATCCAAGGCTGACGGCAAACAGACCAAAAACTGACCAACATGCTAAAATGAAAACACAAACAAATGCTAAAATGAAAGAAAGGTGCAACAAGATCATACATGATAATTGGTTTTTCCCCACCAACACCAATTATTCTGATGCATTGAGTGGAACACAACTCTCAACATACGGCATCATCGAAATTACCTTAGGATCAGTAGTACAGATGCCTGTGATGTCCACCGATCCAGGCTCTGCAACATCGAAAAGCAGCACCTTGCCTGTGATGTCCCGGACAAACATTTTATTATTCTCAAAGAGGCCCACAACATAATTAACGGCAACAGGGAACTTGAATTTGGACTTTAGATACCAAGACTCATCATTCCACACCCAAATTTCGAGAGTGGAGTAAGGCACTTGATCATAACCAAAGTCATCCGTCAAAAGAAGAATAGCAAGCGAGCCATCAATCTCAACAAGAAGATGTTCAGAATCTCTGCTAAATCTAATCTTCCCCGGAAAAGGAATTAGGCGACGGGAAAACTTTTCACTGGCAAAGTCGAATGAGATGATGGAATTAGGGCTGGCACTTACTGCCCAATAATAAGACCCGCCTATGAGAACACCTGGTAGTCCGCTAGTCGGGATGCCCTCTTGCTGGTAAGGATACTTGATTTTCCTCCAAGAACCGGTTTCGAGTGAGTACAGTTCGGCTCTGAACTTTGGAGAAGCTACGAAATCACGATAGTCTATGAGAATCTTGAGAATCTTATAGCCCAGAGGCTTGGCGGGATCAAACCCCAAGCCAAATAAAATATCCGTAAAAGGACGTTTCCAGTTGGGGGAAACAGGAATGATGTTTATCTCTTGGCTAGTGGGGTTCCAAAGAATATCATGTTTCCTTAAGAATCATGAGTCCCAGCTGCACACCAACATCAGCTCGTCGATACTGGCGGCAATTTCATATCTACAACCCAACGCTTTAACGAATTTTTCGATTTGGGGTGTGAACATAATGAAGTTATTCGAGCGGAGTTCATCTATTTTCCACGAGGTTTCAGCAGAAATTACCGAAGCATACCTGAGATCCTTGACAAAGTACGTGAACAGAAACCGGAGCTTGTCGTCCTTGTTCTTGTTTTTGGGATCCACCGCGAAACCCCGTGGCACATGTCACATGTGCCTGGGTTTTAACATGAGCCGCAGTCGAATATAAGGCTGACGAGAGACACTTGAGTTTGGATTTGGCCTTGGCCTAAAAATTGGTGGACAGAATTCCCATCTCTCTCTCGCTTATCGCCCGAAGATTAACAAACAAGGCAAACAATGGCAAAGCGCACAGCGGATGAGAATTTACACCCCCAGTCGTTTCGAATAAAGAAAAAAACAGAGAGAATTTATTACACCCAAACCCTACCTTCTCTAGATTGGATTATGGCATCTTTAATATAGCTTTTGAATGAATTTTTAGAAATACAAACCTCTCAGTTCTATAATACGAAGAAGGTTTGAGGTTTATGAAAATGCCACAAACCTTTCCTAAACCTTAAAAATAGAATAAAATAGCGGATTTGACGGGTCAAACCTCTCAATTAAGTCTAATTCGCTAATTTATCTTCAATCCGCTAGCTATTAAAAGAGGCCAAAACCAATATTTTCTTAAGGAGCGTGTGTAGTAGACAACAAAAAATAAAGGAGAAGGCTACAATATTTAGTTATTGTAAATAATCAATGGCTAAAAATCCTTACAGAATAATTCCGTGATGAGATGGTAGTTTTTTTAAAAAATTAAAGCCTCATTTTCATAATTAAAACACACGACTAGGTGTAAAACGTGTGGTGTGTGATGGTCCCACCTGCTAAAAGTTTGTCAACTTGCTTTTTAATTTCTAAGTTATAATATAAATTCTAAATTATAGCCTAATAATTTCTACTAATAAAATTTTTTTAATAAATAAAAATTAACTAATAAAAAAAATAGTCGGCCGGCAATTGCGGTCGTGCGGAGTCGCGATTGGCTGACTGCATATTGCGTCTGTCGATGGTCATGGCCGACCTCGCCGGCTAGCCGCCACTGCGTAGGGCCGCAATCACCGGTCGACTGGCGTATTTTTCATACCTCGCGGTCGCTCATTTTCATCGAAAATCGTCGCATATTTAGAGAATTTACAATTTTTTGAATTTTTAATAAAAATGTCATAGACAAAGCGATCTAAAGATCTATCTTTTGTTAAAAAAAAAAAA